TCTGTGGAGTGCACTCCACAGACAGACACTCCTGACTCCCTGCCAGTGGTCCCAGCTTTTATCCCCAAGCAGACACCTGACCTTTGTCAACTTAATGTGGGACCCCTGGGGCTCATTTCCCTTATGGCTCTCCCTGCAGGGCCGGCCGCACCCTGGGGGGAAGCTATAAGGCAAACTCACCTCCTCTTTATGAAGGGCTGTGGGAATCACCCCTGTGTCAACCTTAATTCAGGGCTTGGGGTTCAGACCCCAGCATTTCAGGGGCTTAAACTTTGCAAGACCCAAATGCTGGTTGGCATCAGGCACTCACCTTCCCCCCTCTGCAACACGACATTCTTCAGCTGGCCTGCGCTGAAGACATGATGAACACTAAGTTCTGAATGACAACAGTACAGCCTAGCAAATGCCTGTTGAGCTATTTTATACTGAAAATTAGTATTTGGCTTTCTAATAACCCCAACAAAACAAACAAACAAAAAAAAAAGCCAAAACCCAAAACAGTCAATGTTTAATGGCATGCCTATTTTTCTTTTTTTATAGGAGTTAAAAGGCGGAAAAGCGTATGCAAAGGTAAATTGTCATGTATCTAATTTTGCCTATGAATTAGCTTTTTTTGTCATTTTATGCCCTTTTAAAGTAATTTCAGAATAGTATTCTTATATCCAAAATTTCATTATGTGCATTATAGTAACACAGTGGTGTTGGAACGCTCAATCAGTGTGTTTAATAATTATAAAATGATACTATATCAATTTTTTTTTTTCCTTTCAGTTTAGTATGTTGGGTTGATAAAAGTAAACCCTTCTGCATTTGTTTACTTTTTAAAATAAAGAAAACTTTCCTTGCTCTTTTATTCTTTTAAGACTTGAATTTTTAACTGGTAATAGAGCTATTCAGAATTTGACACTGTTTGTTTTCATTTGTTTTTTTTGCCTTGAGCCACTCCCTTTAATGGGCATCCTTTTATTTATATTTGAGAGAAACTGCTGTTCAGAGGTACTCCATACTGTGCGTGAAGCAAGTACATTCATTTAGTAATATGCTTACTTTTAACTTTTTAATTTTCTCTTAACAGCTGGGATTTGCAGATTTAAATCTAGCAGAGTTTGCTGGATCAGGAAATACCACTCGTCGCTGTTTACTGGAAGGTTATGATACCAAAAATACAAGACAGGATAACTCCATTCTCAAAGTAATTAGTTCCTTTTATCATGCTTAAACCAATATAGCAGAGATTAAGTGGTATTATTAAGCACTTAATGAAATTTAAAACATAATTGCTGAACCTTTTTCTAGACGGAAAATTATTTCAAGTAAAAATATCAGCATTTTAGAGACAATCATTAAAATCCATGCAGTCAAAAATAGAATTTGTCCTAGTCTTTAAAATGGAGTTGGATAGCTGTAAAAGAAAAGCTTTCAGAAAGTATTCCTGTTGTAACAGGAATTGAAAAATGGAATAGGGAAGCATGATGAGAAAGTTAATATACTAATATAACTGTAGCATAAAGACTGTGCAACTTCCTCTGCAGCTTTTCTAAGAATGAGTCTCTTAATTTGCTTATTTATATATAAGCCAGCTTCAACACCTCCGTGAGTTCTGGAACTTGCCTTTTCCATTTGATAATAATCATTTTAACAACTGGTGAGCATTGCTGGAAGAAATTCACCCTGCTGTTCTCTCCCATTAGTCCACAGAGGAGAGGGAAAAAAAAAAAAAAAAATTAGTAAGCTGCTGCATTAACCTGAAAAATAATGACATACAGAATGTTAGGAGTAAATTTTTAAAGAATATCGTTTCCATCCAAGGAATTGGTAGGAGCACTACGATCAGTAGTAGGTACCCTATGATTAATTTCTCACACTACTGAGTACAGTGTTTAAACATGCACTTTCTGATTTAAGACGGTCACAGACTTTTCCCAGAAAACTTCTAATTGATGCCTTTGACCAAGCTAAGAAGCGTTCTCAGTGTTTTATTATTCTGTGGCATTATTCACCTTTTGTGGTTTTACCATGTCTGATGTTAGCACAGCCAGTTCTCCTATGCTAGCAGTTTGCTAAACACTCTCAGCAAAGAGCATGCTTCAGCAACCACAATATTAAATAATATTCTGTTTGCTCATTAATTTTTTAGATTTCCTGTCTTATTTTTCCTTTGAGGTCACTGTAACTGTTAATGATTCGAAGATTCTTCTTGATCTATATATCTTTTGCATAATCTTGTACATACAACTGTGTTAGTTGAAATGATATTTTGTGTTGTTGGCATGTGTACTAAGAAAAAAAGATGTAGTTTTTGTCATGCATGCGTTCACTTGTGTATTTGATTATGCCATTTAAAGTTACTTAAATGTGAGATTTGTGGCAAGTATAACTTAGTTCCAGGACCGTGTATTTTTCTTACAGTGGGTTTTGTTTTCTTAATGTGCAGGTTTTGATCAACATGCAGCTAATGTCTGGAGACCCATGCTTTAAAATGTAAGTTTATTAAAAATTAATGTGGGATAGTGTTCATCATATATTCCATGTTCAGAATTATACTTCTCATTTGCTTATAAATCTCTCCAATCTGGCAACGGTATTTAAAAAAGAAAGGCACAAACAAATGGGATGGTAGCTGAATAATGGCTAACATTGTGAAAATACCAGTAGAAGTGTCATAGTTCTCCTTGCTGTTAAATACTTGGTGTATTTTCAAGCAAAGAATACCAGATTGTGTATCTATAATTAAAAAAAAAAAAAAAATCTAAGAAACACTTAAGGGAAACTGTGCCTGCAGTGAGCTTATATAAATATACTTGGTATGGGGTGGTCTGACTGAAATGCTGGGGTTTGAACCCCGAGCCCCAAATTAAGGTTGACACAGGGGTGATTCCCACAGCCCTTCATAAAGAGGAGGTGAGTTTGCCTTATAGCTTCCCCCCAGGGTGCGGCCGGCCCTGCAGGGAGAGCCATGAGGGAAATGAGCCCCAGGGGTCCCGCATTGAGTTGACAAAGGTCATGTGTCTGCTTGGTGATAAAAGCTGGGACCACTTGCAGGGAGTCAGTAGTGTCTGTCTGTGAAGTGGATGCACTTCACAGAGCTTCCTGGTTGAGGAAGGATCTCCTGACTCTCCTGGAACTGGGCCCCGGTCAGCTTGGACATTTGTAAATGTGGGCTGGGAGAGTGAGAGGTGGCCATGTGACCACCTTTATCTTACCTGTTTAACCTCTTGATCTGGCTGTTTCCCTTACCATTCATGGGAAACCGTGGTTCTTTGTTTATTCCACCCATTGTTGGTCGGTGATGTCGTTGTTGGGATCGTTGGGGGGAATGTCAATTGCATGTGAACTGATTGACTTGTTTGTACCCCCAGCAATTGTCCATGGAATGTCCTTTCTATACTCAATACAGTCCACTTACTGGTTTGTCTTCCTGCTGGCTGTATCCTTCCTGTTAGGCCTAGTCGTTGGCAGAACACTGACTCATACTTGTGTTTGAAAAATGTGCTGTTACACCTTTTATTCACAACTCTCAGATGATTTAAAAATATTTCTTTAAAAAAAAACCCCAGAGGTGTGATACGACTTAGTACAAGAGAAAGCACTTAGAGATATTTAGTTAGCAAAGACATTATGCAGCTTAATAAAATATGCATAACATCTGAGTGGGGAGGTAGCTAGGAAAATGCACAGCTGTATATGTAGGATCCTTTGCCCTCGTTGTCCTCAATGTGAAGAAAATGTAATAGTTTTGCTAGAGCACATTAGGTTCCCTAACCACAGAACAAAAAAATCACAGGTGCTAGGGAAAAACCTAGTCATGAGAAGATGAAATTTTTGCCTTCTTTCTAGACTCATAAGCCATTTTATTAGGAGGCACTCAGGATTCGTGGACAACTAAACTGAAAGTGCAACTGGCAACCTTTCTGTTCCAGAGCCACACTACTGACTTACCTAACCATGATGTAATTATCCTGATCAGTAGGAAGTAAAGAACTCCCAGGTCAGTTGTATTATAAGGGATATTTGATAATAAGTGGAAAGCCATTCATTGCAGGGATAGTCTTAGGGATACAGATAGAATCTGCTTCCATGAATGGAGTGTGGAAAATTCCTCAATATTTGCCAAGATTCTTAGTGCCACTGCTTTTCTTTAATTCGGAATGTTGGTTTTATTCAGAATAACTGAATTAATCATAATAACTAGGTTATTCAAAGTGTATGTGCTTTTCAGTTTAATGTCAATTTCTAATTCCACGTGACAGTAGATGGCAGTTTTTGTCTAGATCAGCTTTAAACCAACTTAGTTCTATTTTAATTTTCAGAAGATGTTTGGAGGAGTTGCTGATGAAACAATTCCTTCAAAATAAATTTAATCCCTTAAGTTCTAGTTTAATTCAAAGTTTTCTCCCATTCACTTCCTTGACTATGTTGTTATAATGAAACAGAATCAAAATGAGATAATGTATTTTCACATGTGATCACAATGTGTTTAATCTGTGGAACTCCTTGCTACTACATACTGCAAGTATTAAAAGCCCAAGAAAGAATTAAGAGAAATTCCTGAATGAAAAACTGAGGACTATTAAGTATAAAATTTCATATAAGGATCAAGAAATATGTAACTTACAAATGATGACATGCTGGAAGAATATTTGGGAGATACAGACACTGTGTGCCATGTCTCAGCATGTTGTTTGCTGCTGACAGAAACAGGATGGCAAGGCTAGATAGACCTTTTGTCTGAGACAACATGCTTGTGCTCGTATTAGCCCTTTCAAAAACAATCTGAGGCAGATATCCAATAACTTGAAAAGAAAAAATGAGTTTCAGACAAACAGTCTGGAAAAATTCCCTAGCTTCACCTTTATGTCAATCACAACTTTTTGTGTAGGTTCTCAACTTTAATTTACACTTTGAGACTTTATGTTGGATCAAAGACATCTTCCATTGTAAAGACATAGTGCTTACTTGTAAACTGCCACACTAAAACACTTTTACTTCAGTATGGATTAGGTTTTTTTACTCAAAATACTCTCATAAACTGAATTTAAACTCATCTTTTATCAGATTAATGTAGACAATCATTGTTCCTCTGAATAATCCATTGAAGAGGGATGATAATCTCATACAGGCTTAATCTGTAGCAGTAAACATATACTGAAGTCTTCCTTTAGTGAAAAAGGATTGTGTTTGAAGTGAAAAGAGGCTGCAGCTCTAAGAAATGCAGCACTGATCTCCTAACCCAGTCTGAGGTGAAAGTATGAAATAACTCATGATTTGTAGGTTTTAGCTGGTTTGAGGTATGTTCTGGTGTACCTAGGACAACTGAACTATCTTCTCCAGAAACTAGAGACTTTGTGCATTACTGCTATGGCTGTATCCTTTCCATTGTTTCTGAGGAGATCTTCGAATGCTGCCTGCTCCAGTCTAGCTCAGGTGATTCACCACAGGAACTCTTCAATGTCCCATTGCACCACTAAAGGCTCTTGCTTCTCTCTTCTTCTAACCTTCACTAAGAAGAACAGAACACTGTAAAATCTCATCTTGTGCTTAATGAATAAATAGTTAAGAGGCTATTATGTGAATTTGATTGGGCAAAGCTTTCCTGTATCTCCAGTTATTTCACAACTCTTGATTTACTTTTGAGTCAGATCTATTAACAAATACATCACTGGTACTGATAAACAATTTCTCAGAGGCAATTAGTTTTGTATACTAATAAAACAATGTTTTTCTGTTCTTTACTAGCTGGTACTGAAGGATTTGAAATTAGTACCTAAATAGTTTTCTGGCTCCACAGGAAAAAATCTCTAACTGAAATTATTCAGACTTGGCATTTTCTCCAAACTGATGATAAAACCATTTCCTGGAACGTAAACTTCCAACACAAACAGTACAAAAAATTTATCTGATCCAGATGTCCTTTGTAGAAGGAAAAATAAACCTTAAAACAATTTCACAATCTGTAATTGGCTACATATTTTATGAAGAACCCTAGAAGACTTGATGTTTGATCTGGGATGACATCCCTGTAAGCATTCAGTTCTTGCTTTAAAAATTATGTTTGGCAGTTAAGTCACAAAAGCATTGTGTTTCTAGAAGTGCTTTTCCTCTTTTTCTCCTTACTTTCCAACATAAGCTAAGAGGGGAGATGTTAGTGCACAGAAAGACAGTGACTAATGAATTGAATATGTGAAATTGAAAAATATCAACAAATACCAATTTGTATGAAGACCAAATGTCTATTCCCAAAGTCAACAATAACAAAGCATTAAAAGAACCTTTAGGTTATTCTAGCTATTTGTATAGCTATTTCAGTTGTATTTGCTTGCAAGAGATTACTTCCACTCTGTCATTTTCTAATTAGTTTCTTTTGCACTAGCAAAATGTAGAGGTTTATTCATTTTAATAATATATCCCTTTGGGTCTTGGTATAATCTGAAACAAGGATTTAAGATTTAGTAAAAACTTACTGTCTTGTCATGTACTCCATGAAGTACTGAATTATATATATATTTAGCATGTAAATTACCCTGAAATTCATGGATTTAAAAAAATCTTGAAAAAAACACACATCACTCTACCAATCACCAGAAGAGCAAAAGCCTTTCCAAGGATCCCCAGAAGCCTGAAGGACTGAGGGCTGACCAGATGGAGTCTGTAAAATATCTTTAAGCTCAATAGCAAAAGCTTTAATTTGTTTTTTGATTTTCTTTTTTTAACAGGGGATTAGGCAGCATGTTTTCAGAAAAAAAAAAAAAAACAACTCACAACCCTATTAACTTGAAGCACAGTATGAATTATGCCAGTTTACTCAAAAAGAAAAACCTGTGCTGATCAGTTTGGAGGGGTTGCAGCTAAAGTACAGCAAATCTCTTAACCACCCTTTTCTTGCAGGCCTCCTTCCACAGCAACGTCCATACCAATTGCTGGAGAATCAGAATCTTTGCATGAAGACAGGAAAGGTGGAGAAAACTTAAAAGTACTACCTCTGGGCATGGCAGGTATAAAATAATTCTCTTATTTTCCTAATTCTTTTCTAACTAGCTTCATAGCTTTGAGGAGATATACAAAATAATTAAATTCTTAAAGAGATGCTGACTGACAAAGGGACTTTTCTGGTTATTTGTTGAGATGGCCTCCTAAGTAACAGAAGTGGAATCTCTCTTTTGTTTCTGTAACAGCTTATTTAATGGAAAGAAAGAACAGAAATTGGCTTGATAGGCTGCCTTCTTATTATTTAAAAACATCCATTTTCTGTGTCACATTTCTTGATTTGCTTTGGATTTGTGTTTTGACTGAGCATTTAATCTGCCCCTTGGTTTTCAATTTACAAATAATAGGGATATGTGTAACTGAGTAAATTTGGAGTAGTAAAATTTCACTGAAATTTAGAGAAAAAAAATTTAAACCACTTTATTGTAGGTTGAAATTTAGGGGGTTTGCAGTGGTTTGAGGTTTTTGTGGATTTTTTTGTCTGTTTTTTTACAAGATTCAGGCTCTTCAATAGCTTATTACTTTCCAGAAAAAACACAGCTTACACTGTCTTAACAGCAGTTACTTTTTCAGCCAGAGAACATCTAGCTCACCATTCTATTATGGTACTATGGAAAGCATGACAACCTCTTCTATGTTGCCAGTGTAGGCAAATCTAGAACTACATTTCATACAAATCTTTCCAACCCCATGGTACTCTCTGCCCAAGTAAGGACAAAAATGTATTATGATTTTATTCTTTTTTAAGGAATGCATATTCATTAACATGCGTAGTATTTTGCAGCACTTGAATCTTCAAAGGGTTTGTAGAAAGCCAGTGTCAAGTCCCTAATCCCTGTGGGAAATCTGACATTTGAGTCTAATCACGATTACAGGCCAAGTAATAACAAGGTTGGCTTTAGCAGCAGCATCTGACTTGCACATGTTACAGATATCTCCACAAAGAGTGCCTCAGTTCCAGATGAACTTGGTGCGTGTGGACATTCCAGGACATCAAGCTATGCAAGTCAGCAGTCAAAACTGTCAGGTAGCTGTAAACAATTTTGTTATGAATTGTCGGGGTTTATTTACTTTCACAGTTTCAGACTGTAGAGAATAAGTATATTTTATATGCTAAAAAACTCGTTTGAGGTTGAAAACTTTTTGCTAGGAGTTCCAGGTGTGTGTGGGGGTAACATTTTTTTTTTTCCCTTCTTAAAAGCATGGTCAATTAGCTGTTTGTATATGAGACAGCTTTTTCCCTTAGCTCCCTCCAATTAATGTATCTGAATGAGATTTTTACCTCTTCCATGTGTAAAAACAACCAACTTACAAATGGAGACTTAGTTCTAAAAACCGAAGGGGAAGTAATGACATCAAGTCATTATATTTGTTAGGAAGGAAGAGTTTTTTAGAACAAAAAGAAAACAGCATGTGCTAGAATACAAAACCCAAAGTGCTGGTGTATGCACATACCTACATAAGGCTTTTGAAGCCTCTTTATAAGAAGACAAAACACAAATTCTGCTTTCAGGATGGTAAACTGTAAGTAATGACCTTGGCCATCTGGAGCATAGCTAACCTAGCTCTCCTGCACTTTCCCAACAGGATACAGCACAGGTCACTCCAGATCATCCAGCCTGTCCGACCTCTGCCACAGGAGAAACGCCTCGGTGGGTAGTACCTCCACAGGAACTGGGAGTATGGAAGAGACTGAGCCAAAAGTAACCAAGGCTAATACTGATACAGCTGGTAAAGACGCATCACCAGAAAAACTCTGCAGGTACACTTATCTTGAATGCCTTATCTACCACAAGTAAAACATAATTTATCACTTCTCAGAGCACTAAGTAGATTTCTTTTTGCAGACATCCTGTAAAGCAAGACTCTGTGGAGTCACAGCTGAAGAGGGTCGACGCTACCAGAGTCGATGCTGATGATGTAATTGAAAAAATACTCCAGAGTCAAGACTTCAGTTTAGACTCCAGTGCAGAAGGTACAGAGATAAACAAGGAAGCTTAGGGAAAATTGATGCCTATTACAGTTGTTAGGAAAATCCACTCTCTTCATAGTCCCTGTTACTTGTAATCACAAGGACTGTATGTATGGAACACTACCTTTTCTGCTTCATCCTGTCTCCCAAAAATTGAAAAGACCCGTGCATGACTCAAGTAGCTTTCCCAGACAGTTACTTTAAGCCTGAAAAGAAAGGAGCAGGGGCAAATCTACAACAAAGGCAGTCCTTGCAACCTACACCATGTGAAATTTAGTTCTTCGTATTAGCATCTGAAAGGTACAGAATTGGTAGATTTAAAATTACTTAGTTTAGTTTAGGAAACTAACATAGGTTAATTCCTTTGCTTTTTTAGAAGAAGGCTTAAGATTATTTGTGGGTCCTGGTGGAAGCACTTCTTTTGGAAGCCATCATCTACCTAACAGGTATGTAGCCTGAACAACTACTCCATAGGTAATACTAAACAAAAGTGGATCTTATACAACAATTATTCTGTATATACATTCTTGATCTTTTCCTTTCTGTATCATTTAAAAGTACCACAAAACTAGGTTGGGTTTTAAAACAAAACACATAGATCAGTTCCAAAACAGAATTGATGTGTCAGTCATAAAAACTGTAACTGTTGCAGGTTCTAAAGAGTCTCAGTTCCAAAGTTTTCAGGTATGAGCAATGTTTCACAACGGACACAGGGAACAGGCACCAGTTTAAGCTCTATAGGCTTACTACATTACTCTCTGGAGCTGGAAGAAAGTCTTAAGTGTTTTACACGTCTGCCTTTACAGTGTCAAACTTTTATGTCTTCCTGACCACAAGCCTAATTTTCTTCACTTCAGTACTGCTCACAACTCCTTCTGTTCCCCTATGCTACATTACTGTTTCGATGGGGTGTTCATCTTTCAACTATTTGTAGCCCTAAATTCTCTGAAAATCTTCTTCAGATGATCATTATCTTCTTGTAGTTTTTTTAGAGCTGGAGTTATCTTTTTTCTTCTCTAATTCCTCTTCAAACACTCTGATATGACTTGACCTGAATATAAGAGCCTTCTCAGATGAGAAAACATTAAAACTAGTTAAAAATATACCCTAATACCATGATTCTGCAGCATGGTGTAACTCTTCAGATTTTTCTTTATCAGCAGGTACTTCTGGAGTTAGGTATCAAGGCAGCTGACAATGTGTTGAAAGTTATTTTAAAAAACACATTTTACATAGGCAAGCAATACCAACAGTTAAAAGATAATTCATTGGTTTATTTGCAAACTGGGCACCCTAATTTCTATCTCAGCTGACATGTATGGTTACAGAGCACCCTGCATCAGTGTATAGAGATCTGTCCTAATTCAGCTGCCAGCACAGTCCGGGCAGAATGTTATACTAAGGCAGAGCTGCTTTATTAATTTTCACACAGTGCTACAATTTGCCACGTAAAACAACCCAGTGTGCTCTGTCACGTGGAGGGTGAGAGTGTTTTGTTCACAATTCAGTGTGAACAGAAGACTGGAAGGAGTTTCTCTTGTATTTTTCATGTTAGAAGACTATCAGTAGTTTTTTAGATATATTTATCTGTTTTACATGTATTTACATGTGTTTTCTACCCTTCACATTTAGCTTTTTCTTTTAATGGGGGGGAATATTGGTTGTTTGGGTTTTTTTAGAAGAGTAAACTCGCTCACCCGTGACACTTGCTGTTTAGCTTCCATTTAAATCGGAATTGAAATAACTTCTTTCAAACCTTCTTTCAGAGCAGGATCTGGAGCATATGAACAAGTGGTGATAAAACGCTAGACTAGAAGGACAAGAAGAAAACCTGAAGTTCTAGCATTGATACTTCTGGTTTTGTTAGCTCTGTTGCAAGAGTTGTAAAAGCCAAAATAAACTGGATGTGATTTTTTTTTTTGAAAAGTAATGGAATGCCTCTTGCTCATAGAGCTTCATCTTCTGTGGTATGAAGGTAATGTTTAGCTACATATACCTTGTGTGAGCATTTGGACTATTTTTGTAAGCTCTACATGATTTTAGTGGGAAGACTTGCTTTTTAAGCTGTGGGAAACATTTTTGGAAGCATGATGAAGTGAGTCGCATTGCAGTCAATTCTATAGGTGAGCATTTTTGCTGATGTACTTTGTTCATAACTCCTTTTTTAAAGAAGCTTCTGAAAGTTGGTCGTAAACACGAGGAAATTAATTACCCAGTTTGATCCTATCTGCCATTTCAGTCTTACAGAAGCTAATTACTTCCATCAAGTCACAATTAAGGCCTCTGTGAAACAGCCCAGCTATGATTTAACATAACCAAAAGTACTCAGCATAACTTCATTGTACAGTTGAACAGTAGATGTAAACTTCGCATGCATTTAAAAAACAAACAAACAAACAACCACAACAAACCACACAACAACTAAATAGCTCTAAACTAGCCAGTAATTAGTTGTGTGAACTGAACTGTAAATGAAGTCCAGAGGCTTAAATGCATCAAATGTGACATCTGTTTTTGTGTTGTGGGACAAAAGCAGTGGGATTCCACATCAAAACGCCAAGGCACAAGAGTATATTATCAAGAAAACTGGCTTGAGTGTTCAATCTGGAATTCCAAAGCTGCTTCCACAGAAACTTGCTTCAGTAAGGCATGAACCTTGAGATTCAATGGATGGTGCTGTTTACAAACCTAGTCACTAGTTTACTACTACTTAGAACTTTTTATCGTAGCTTAATCCTTCACAGTTAGTGCTTTGCTTCTGTTTTGAACGTGCCTTGTGGGGTTGGGAGGGTAAAGGGAGATTAAACTATTTACAAAGCAACTTAAACTTTAAATCTAGGTAAACATCTATGCTTTTTTCAATATAATTTATTAAGAGAAGCACTTTATTGTAGATGTACTCTGAAAAACTTTTACTGTGCATCAGGTTTGTCAAATGCTTCTTCTCTCACTATCTGTCCACTGTTAGATTAAGGCCAATGTACTGTATTTAAATTTGCACAAATAGTGGTTTGCCTGACAGGCAAGAAAGATAAAAGTTATCTTTAAATTTTCATGGAAAATCATGAAAAACTGTTTTTAAAGGGATGTGTTAAGTGACACAGATCTAATTCAGGCTTGTCGCTGCTGTATTTAATTGTAAACAGTAATGTTATGATTAGTTGTATTTTGTATCAGTAAGGCTTGCTTTAAATAAAAATACAAATAGCGTGGCCATTTTTGAAATCTCTGAATGCTTCAAATGCTGCTCAGAGTGATGTTTGACACCCGTTTGTTGAAGTATAAGTAGGTCATGTATAACAGGTTATATTAGAGAAAGTAGGCTTTGTTTTCCATAAATCCTTAGTAGAATTAAACATTTTTGATTTTTTAAAGAAAATTTCCGATCTTAAAGCTTCAGTGCTGTTATTGAATATGATAAGCATGAGGTATTTCTCAGTTATGGTACTTAAATACTTTTATTTCCTGATGTTAATTATATAATCTTTTAAGTGTTTTAATGGGTAAAAGAATTAATACAAAGATTATATTTTAGTTGGTGTTAATAGGAATGTGGTATTGCCAATTTCTATCCTCCACAGGAAATCTAAAGAGAAACTACATAACTGCTAGTATATAACTATCTCTCACAACATGATAGTTTCCTTTGCTATTATATAACTAATTGGCACCAAAAAAATCCTACTGTAAGCCAAAAGATGCATGAAACTTGAATAAATTAGTTTTTTTCTAACACTGCTACACTTGTTGAGAAATCTGTTAGAACCAGTAGTAGTTAGACAGTAGCTTACTTAAATTTACTAGGAAAAACAGGCATACTTTAAGGAAAATAGAATTAAGAAAAAAAAATAAAAAAATAAAATAAAAAAAACCCACAACATTGTACAGCTAATTATGTAATTCTTAAGTGAATTTCCATAGCCTGGATTTGTATTATATATTGAAAGACACAGATAACTGCTGTAGATTAGGTATTTTGCTTACTAGAAACCTGAGCAGATCTTAAATAGGAAGGAAGTTTACATGGAAATGAAGATTTTAATAAAGCGGCATCCTAGTAATTTATTATCCTGACTTGGAGTTACAGCTCTATATGAAGTGATTCTCTAATTGTGTGTATTTTAAGTGGAGCATAACCTTCATATTTAGATGTAGTATTTCCTTTTTTGTGAACTGTTATTAGGAATACTGGAGGCTCATACAGTAAAGTGGGCTGCACTGGTGGTTTTGGTTTTGGGGGAGGGGGGTTGTGTGTGTTTTTTTTTTTTTTCTCCTGGTTTTAACTGCATCTAAATGCAAATCTCTCAGATGTTCAATAAACTCATGTCTTCAGCCTGGAATCAATTTCTATAAAACTGTCTCTTTTTAATGCAGAAACAGCAAACCTAACTGCATGTTTATGGCCATTCAATTTCTCTCCTGCTTTTCAAACCATGCCTCTGCAGTTTAATAAACTCCAGTCCACAAAGTATTTAATGGCATTGTTACTAGTATATAGTTATTTATGTCTCCTGGAGAGGAAAACTAATATGCCAGTTTTAAATTTTAAAGCATGAGGCATATTTGTATGTTACTTACTAAGCAGACTTCACAACTATCAGTATCTGGGGGAGGTGAGGGCAGGCAGTGTGCATGGCCCTTCCTCACCTTGCAAATGACAAAATTAATCCTCCTCAGCTGAGTGTAAAGATTTACTACTGCTAAAACTTTTCATATAGTTTGTATAACTTTGTAAATTATGTACTTTTCTGCAAAAACTTACTTCTGTATGCATTTCTCTTGTTTTCAATGCATTCAGAATAACCAAGTTTTTTAGTACTGGAGTAAGCATCTGTTCCTACATAAACAAAAAAAAACCTAGATGGGTGAAAAATGTAGTTCGTTACAAACCATTTGTACTATAGTAGAAATTATTTGGCACTCAGTTGCATAATCAATTAATTGTATGGTAAGCATTAAGAGAAGTAACTACCATGCATAATTAACTCAAATCTTACCTGTCTTTCAATTCAAAAAGAAAGGCAACTTTTCCGAAGTTTCAGCAGAATATCCTAGAATTTCTTTGAGTATTTGTTTCTCTTCTGGTTTTATGAATCAATGGTTTCCTTATAGATTAAAAAGGCAAATGTCATCAGCCAACAAATCCTCCAGTTAAGGACCTCACAGTGGAAAGTTCCCTGAGAAATATGAAGTATACATAAAACATTCATAGATGCTAGTCACCTTACTGAATACCAGCAGCTGAAAATATTTTTTTTAAATTCCCTAGGGATTAAATGCTTTGCTTTTTATATTTCTGTGTTTTTACACTGCTTTAGTGACACATATGTTGTAAGGAAAACATGTCATTTAGACACAGTTCTTTTTCAGTCTGGAAGGAAGGCCTGTCACCAATGCAAATAAGGCTATGCAGCACTGTTGCATACCTTTATGTCATGTGCCAAAGCAAAACCTTTACTGTGGTACAGAAAAAGATTTTTTTCCTTTACTACTACAGGAGAAAAGAAAGCAGATATCTGAATGCTGTCAGAGAACACTGGTGTATTTTTGTGGAACTTCTGACATCGGAAAATGAGAATATAAAAGACTTGAAAAGAGTAGTACAGAAAAAAACCCAGACAACTCTTTTTATAATTTTTGAGGCAAAATAAGTACTTTTGCCTTCTCCCTAGTCAACTGCTCATTCTTGCCTCCTCTCCTGTTCCCATCTGTTGCATCACTACAGCTTTAGGCAATTCAGTTCCCTGTATGGCCTCACTGCTGGATCTGCCAACAAGAAGGAGAAAGGCAAACATATCTTAATATATTTGTTAACATTTATGTGGGACAGCTTATTTTGCTGCTTCTAAAATTGTTCATAAAGTTGTAAAGACAGCACTATTTTTTTTTTTCCTTCTCTTATAATCAGTTAACATTACCCCATTATCCTCATTTGAGTATAGGCTATTGTCAGTGCATTTGTTTCAGGGACGTCCCCAGTGAGCTGCTTGCACACAGGACTGCATTAAAAAATGTTTCTTTTGTGAATGAGAAAGAAGTGCACCACTTCCTCACTCTTATTATTTATTTCAAACACTGATCAGAAATGTTCTGTTCAGTAATCCTGACCATAATCAATCGCTCCAAAGTTGCTCACTGGTGATCAAGTTATTTCCCATATACTTAGGATACTGTACTGATTTTTTTGATTTTTGGTGGTTTTGGCTTTTTTTGTGATTTTTATTTAATCTACTTTTTTTGGATTTTACATTTTTGAACAACCCGTAGTTGATCTGTTTTGAGATTTGTGCGCCATCTGCTGGTCAGCATTAATGCCACATGCAAGCTAAAACTTCATAAAACTTCCTTTCAGCATCCTGATTTGATTTCAAACTGCAAGTTTAAGTGGCACATGATAAATACTGTGTTTATTCACAAACATGCATAATAGTTTCATCAGAAGACCACTCTGATGATGAAGATCTATGCACAGCATGTGAGGGCTGCATGTGAGCAAGCCCCAGGCTGGTGACTCAGAGAAGCTGAAACCCAGACAGAGTTTCTGGGGGGACAGAGGGGCTTTGGGCTTTAGTGTCTGGAGAAGGTGGCCCCATTCTTAACATCTCTTAAAGAATATTTATGTGTACCAATTTTTCTCATTAGCACATATATGTAAATCAATTAAGACTTACAAGAGGAATACTAGTTCCTTCAACTCCCTCAGTACATGTCTTGTTTTTGATTTCTGTGTTAAAATGTGTCTCCTCACTTTTATGTCACTACTCTGGAACACTCAAAGCAGCAGCATAACTGAATAGTTTTTACTGGTA